CTTGTGTTTGTGCAGTTCATGAATCCTTTAGACTAATTGTTTCCATGCGACTTTGATTTTCTATACTCTTCTTTGTGCTAGATGGGGAGAAACTAATAGTTGTACTTTGTATTTCTTTAGGAGAGACACTCAGAAGTAGATATTCTGCTTAAAAGAGAACGTATATTTAAAATATTGAGAGATACTTCTAAATTGTACTCTAGAAAGGTTGGACAAATTTAATTTCACACTTGTTTCTCTATAATGTCAGGAGTTCCTAAACTCAAACTAAACCCATAGCTATCCAGTCAATTCTGATGCATAATGACCTTAGAGGACACAGTAGAACCGCCTCAAACCAGTAGAACTGGTTTCCAAGGCTGTAAATCTTTATAGAAGAAGACTGTCACATCTTTCTCCTGTGGAGCAGCTGGTGGGTTCCAGTTGTTGACTCTTTGGTTAACAGCCAAATGCTTTTAACTACTGTACCACACAGCTCCTTATCAGGAATATAGGCTATTATCAATTAAAAATTAGTGCCAATCTCATGTGAGTTAAACATTTACCTCAAGTAGACACACGCCCTGGAGAGAACAATCATGGGAGAAGGAAGGGCTGCTTATGCACAGGGAGATAGCTCAGGGTGCAGAAGAGTATGAAGGGATGGACACTGGGAGGAGGTAACTATGGGGAGGAAGTGGGAGGGGAGCTGCTGCATTGTAAATTTTGGTCAATGACATGAGACAAAGTACATGTGAACTGCTGTATGAAAAGTGAATTTACTCTGTAAATCTTCACCCAAATCCTAAAAAAAAAAAAAAATTAGTGCCAATCTGACAGTAAAAAATAACATTTCATTGCTGTAGTTTGTATTCTTTGATTCAGAGAGGTTGATGTGTTAGTGACCCCAAAGCTACTCTTACTGATCCTTTGTGTTTATACAGCTGTAGAAAAGGACAGTAGTGTCATTGTGACCACTTTTTGTTATTCACAGTTAGTTACCTGTGGATGGGTTACACCCTCACACTTGGTTCTATGATGCTCTAGTCAGCAGTTCTTTTGCTGGTTTTCATCTAATCCAGTGAACATCTGGATGGAAGACTTGAACCTTTTATTGGTGCTAATGACTTCTTTTTGGCGGTTCAAACCCATCAGCCACTACTTCCATAGTGATACCAAGGAGGGGTCGCTATGAGTCAGGTCCAACTCGATGGCACATAACAACAACAAATATATATATATTTGCTGTCT